GTCGATAATATTTTTGCACCTATTACCTTATCAAGTAGACTTTAAGTTTCATCATCTGGAAGAATAGGAACCGGATGTTCGCTTTCCGCTCTATCCAACAACTCCAAGACTTCAGTCTATCATAACAAAAAATTTTATCATGAATTCTTGATAATAATATTATCTTGAAACTTAAATTATTCTTCCGTTATTATGCAATTTGTTTAGTTTAATTTTATTCTTTAAATAAAATAAAATAAAAATATTTAATGACTATCAACCACCTGAGGGAATATTTCATCGACTTCTTTTGAAATTTTCTTTATAATGTCGGGTGCAGCTACTGTCACAACGACGATTAATTTTTTTGGTCCTCTTGTATAATGATAATGATAATCATCAAATGAGAAGCCTTTATGACTAAACTTTTGAGTTCCTATAAACTCTTATAATTCTTGATAGACATGCAAGCCGCACGCATTGTAGCACCAGTTGCGATTCCATCTATTATCTAAAAGACAATCACGCAAAGTTTAATATTATTCATATTGTTAAAATCAATGACTTACCATCAACAAGAATGACTTTACTATCACAAACTTTAACTGGTGGCTTATCTTTTCGATATTTCATATTACGTTGTTGAAGTTTCTTTTCTATTGATTCAAAAAAAATTAAGGTTGATAATTATGCAAAATATTATCGTCGTCGAAAGAAGAAAGGATATATCCTTGCTTCGCGAGCAATGACACGAATAACTGACTCATTCTTAATATTCAACTGATAAATAATGTCATTGTTGTAAACTGTTGCAGTATCGGTGATAGCCTGTAATTCAGCGATTTAAATTAGAAGATAAGCGTTATTAATAAATTTATCAATAATTGTTTGATAGAATTGGCCTTACAACCATCTTGAGTTCTTGTCTACAAAGGTTCAATTAATTTATTATAAATGATAATATAAACGATTTATTTAATGTGCAAATAATAGATATTAACAATCAAAGCAGCCATACATAACTGATTATTTACTATCATATATTTACCCTTCCACGCCAATCTTTCTCACCAAGAAAACGTCCAATGGTACGCCTAATCTCTCTGCAATTTTAAATGCAACCGGGACTCCTTCTCTATTGTTCAAATTCAAACCCATTTCAATGTTATTTTCTTAATATCGAGTTTCCGTTTGTAACGTCTCTATCAAAACAGCGGTCATTAAATACCTTGATAAAGTCAGCACAACAATATTCTCGGCTTTTTCTTTAGTATCACGCTGTTTTTTATAAAGTTCTTGTGCGAGAACTTGATCTGCTTCGACGTAGTTTTTGTAACATTGATTATTCTAAACAAACTTCTACCTTAACAAACTTTCTATCTGCTAAGCATTTATAGATCGACTTTGATCACAAAACATATCATCATTTTGTCATCATAGATTTCTGTGAAATGAATCATTCATCAAAAATTTTTTTGATCACGTTTTTGTTTCCATTCAACAGCGATGAATTAAATTATCATTCTATTCTAGTCCTTTTTTGTCTTTTAAATAATGAACCCTCTTGACTCGAGTAAGCAGGACCACTTTTCAGAGAACGAAAATGTATTGCTAGAGGAGGAGATTTCGCGACTTGCGCAAACGTCGAATCCTCCGTTCACAGACTTTTACGATGTCGAAAAGAAGTGGGTAAAAGTTTTCTTTTTTTGTCAAATAACTTATTTAGTCATTGAGTTGTTGGGAAATAGAAATATAAACTAAATTAATAGTTTTTTGCGGCATTCCAAAATTATTATTGATTTGTTTCAAGTTAAAACCAATTGAGGCCTTGAGAATGATAAATTGTATTTTTCAAAATTGTCTCATATGACTGAAACATTATCGTTATGTCACTGGCTAATCGTAATAAATTTTTCGATGATCTAATAATTACACAAAATGGATAATTTGGGAAATCCGACACTGATTTCTTCACACGAGCAGATCATCATCTCTTATAAATATCTCAAACTAAATTTAATTTTCGACCCAAGCTATTGTATTTTCAACTGTGAAAAGTTTAGAAATAATAGTTTTTTTTACTATACTAGCCATAGCAAACAACAATGACCTCGTCGCCAGAAAGAAAAACACAGGAGAAGCTTCAAATACTTCAAGGTCTATTGCCTAAAGAACCGATAGCTTTTCCGGAGCGGCAATAATATATTTAGTCCGAATAAATAACACCGTCGAGTTTGAAAATGGGTTTGATGAATGGGCTACATACTTTGTGAATGATCAACCTCAGGTATTTTATTCTCTTGTATTTCGTGAGTGTGATAAACGTGACAGACAAGTTTGTCGATAATGGACAATGATTTTTACGCGATTATTGTTTTTTCGTGGAAAAATCATTATAAATATCGAAATCTCTCAAGGAATACTCGCTCTAAAACGCTTAAACTATTATCTCAAATATTGCGAGACATAGATTCTTCGAAAATCGCACTTAATATCACGGAGATTCAAATCGGAGTGACAGACTTGACGCCTCCAGAAATGCGTATGATACCATCAGGCGGACCAACACCAAAGGCACAACCTCGATTACCCCAACCGCCAGCTAACGCTTGACAACCAGAAAAAGATTAAAGCAGAAATTAATAGAATGTAAGATAATTTATTTCAAATTTGTCATTAATTATCAATATTTTTAGTAATAATTCCATTTCTTGAACAGTATCGCGGAGACAAAGTTGAAAGAACAAAGAGAGAAAGAAGATGCTGAAAGAAAGAAAAGGTTAAGAACGAGATAATATTCTTAAGCATATTATATAATTAGTTTATAAGATTAATGATTTTCAAATCTTTGATTTTAATAGAGAAAATGAAGAATGGACAGCAGCGGCCGAAAAAACTCGCCGTGCATTAGCAGCGCAGGCGCAAATAAAGTCATTGCGACTATTATACGAACCAATATCATCTTTGGGACGTAAGGGGATCAAAAAACTAAAAAAGATTGAAGCACCATCAAGAAAAAGGGCAAAGCGCCAAACATCTAATCCTTCTGTAACGTCGAGCAATCACACCAATGGAAAAGGAAAAAATAAATATCATTCAGAGGTAAGTGTTATTGATCGAATGAATTTAACCTATTTAATTCATTCAATGTGAAATTTATCATTATAAATTTTAAGGATGGAGGAATGGACATTGATATTACAACGGACTATCATTGTCTAAGCCATTATCAACCAAGAAAAAGCAACAAAAGTCTGTCGCTATACTCAATATAAACAAGCTGAGAACTGGTCAAAATAGAGGCCGATCGCGATCTCGATCTCCTAATCGAGGACTAATATCGCGTGCCCGATCTAGGACGCCTGAAATAATCAATGCTGATACGCGTAATAAATCGGCCAATGCTACTACTGTTGGCGAAAAGAACAAATCAACTATTAAATTATCAACAAAATAAACAATCACGATTGACCACAAAACAAACTGAAAGGGTCACGGAACCAGTGAATGCTACACCAAAGAAGAAGAGACGTAAATTAGCAAATGACAATATGCTGAGACCTGGCAAGCGTACCTAAAAATTAATTAAGTCTATAAAAAGCAGCGTTTTAGTTGAACATAAAACTCACATCCGAGCGTACGCACTAAGCGACTTGGCAAGGTCCCGGAAAGCCGCTTTCAAATTATTCGAATATTCGGCGTTCCCACTTTTTAATTTATCGTCAGCTGATGCCAAATTTTCTTCTTTTTCTTTGAAATCATCTTGTGCCCTCTTATATTCCTCCTGTGCCCGTTTATAAGCCTCCTTGAATCTTATCGTTGCAGCCGGTGACAATTTGCTGTTCCATTCGTTGAGAAGTGTTTCTTTTCGGAAACTAATTGTTCTTTTTCAGCAACTGTCTTTTTGCGTTGTTCGTTCCTCGGCTGCACGATGACACTCTTCAGAGATTTTTATTTTTGCTGCTTCTGCTTCATTGATTTTTCATTCTCCTTCGTGTTTGTAGTTTTTACCAATTTCCGCGTATTTGTAAATATGAAGTTGGATCAAAAATTAAAATATTTATATTATGATTATTTTTAGCATGAATTAGAAAAAAACCCAAAGTTTGAAAATTTCTATCTAGTTACTTTTGAACATCATCATCTGTGTTAGAGGTCACTGAAAATAGGATGAATGTGTTAATTTCAGAAGTTATGAATAAAAGTCCGAGAAAACGATTCAATAAGATTTTTTCTTACCAGAATCGTCCATCTTCGAGGAAGATGTTTGAATTTGGTTCGACTATAAACTATTTGCAGAATTTGATTCTTTGCTATTACTTGTATTCCGCAATGCGCTTTCGTCTTTTCTTCGTGAAGAGGATTCATCTCTTTTGGTTGAGAAATTATGGGAAGCGTCATCTCTTCTGGTGCTTGTTGAATTATAAGATCGTGAGGATGATGTTGATTCTTTTCGATCGTTTGAGGGTTTGCGGCCTTTTTTCTCGGTTGGACTTTTAGATAGTATCTCATCTTTTTCTTTTCTTTCTTGTGAAGTTTTGACAACGATGTTGCCGGTTCCTTTTTGTTATTCGAACCTCGTAATGTTGATTCTTCTTTCTTTCGAATGTTTAGGAGGTGTTGTTTCCTTTTTTTCTGATATTTTCCGTGTGGGATTATCGTCTTTTCGTTTGGTGGTTTTCTGTTCATCAAATCTCCATATCGACGATAGCCCTTGCTGGAATTCAAAGTCTATAAAAAAGAATGACGATATTTAATTAATCCGTATAGAATATTTAAAAAAGTGAAGCTTGACAAGAAAGAATGGAACACTCGGTTACTTTATTACTAACATTGATTCGGCAGCGCATTTAAGTTGTTGGATGTAGCGTTGGATGAATATAATGAAAGCAAAATTCAGGACATGTAATACGAGAGCAAAAAAAATTTGTATATATATAATCAGAAATGAATATTAACCGCGAAAGTTAGTGTCGCATCAGAATTATTTATCTTTTGTTGATTCACATTGGCAGATCTTGATGCCGTATTATCATCTGCAGAAATTTTGTACACTTTCCGCGCTGGTGCAGATGACGACGAACAAAGGTAACCATAGGCACCTTGAACTTTCTTCGGGTTCTTTGGAGCATTTGGTGGCCGAAACTATTTCTTGGGCTGCAAAGAACAACAACAGAGAGTTGGAGGTCTCAGATAACGAAAGAAAAATTTATTCCTTTATATTAAGATTGGAAAATTATGACTTAATATTGTGATTATGCTTTTCAGTCTTTCCCTCCAAGATCTGTTAAAGATACAAGAGGCAAAATGCAAAACTCAATGGCAAAAGTTTGCCTAAGCCTTGCTGAACTTTGGCGGCTTACGAAAGAGCCTTCTAACTCCTCCTGCGAAGAAAAGAGTAAGAAGGCAAAAGGCGCCGAATAATTATTTATTTGTTTAAAAAAATTCAATCATAGCAATATCAAATAAAAAATATAATATTTAATTTCTTCCTAATTTATTTAGCTTCATTATTACACTTAATAATAAAGTTAAATAAATTAGGAGGCAATTATCTTAATATTTAGTTATTTTATATAAATTTCAAAATATTACAAAATATATATGTTATAATAAACAGAGGGCAGACATAATAATAGTAGTTGTAATAATAGTAATAGTAGTTGTAACAGTAATAGTATTAATTATTATTTTTCTCTTTTAATTTTAAATTCGCATCCATTTTACCAATAATAATTGTCGAATTGAAACTTTTCCAAAGCGTAGCAACATTCTCAAAGTCTTTACCGACTGCAGTGACACTATCCAGATCTTTGGATAGCGATGTCATGTTCGTGTTTACTTGTTCGATACCTAATTTTTTTTAATTGCACATATACATAGATAAAATAGAAGAATTTACTTTGTACAAATAGATAGGTTATTATTACCTGAAGAATATTATTGAGCAAATTATCACGTTCTTTTTGGAATAGCGTATGTTCGGTGGTGGTATTACTATTATTAGTATTAACATTAATTGAATCCAAAGGTACTATATACGTGGCTGCTGAATATGATATCGATACCAAATCCAGTTTATATGCACCTAACGAAAACAAATGAAGATAAAATCTAGTAAATATATGTCATAGTAATGATTATCTGTATAATGAATGATGTTGACATTATGAATGAAGGGATAGGCACCGAAATTCAAATTTTAAACTCAAAAAGTATACTATTGGTTACTAAATAATTATTAGATAATTCGATTTTAAACTGAAAAATAAGTGTCCTAATGTAAATGTGTCGAAAGAGTCTAATAGAATTTTAAATCATGATGGAATTATAATCACAGTAAAATTTTATAAGTTTGTCTTATAAGAAATACATATACTGTACGTACGTGCACGAATTAACATTTATTACCAAATGGTTACAGATATCGAATCTACAGATCTCAAAAAGCTTATGGGTCAACTATATTTACTTTAAGAAAATCTTCATCGTAAATTTTGCTAACAATTCTACCTCCAATCCATTACCATATACATGAACCTTCATGACTATAGTTATTATAGAAACACTTTTACTTGTTGCTGCCTCTTTGTAAGTCAAAATCAACAAATTTATAGTACGATCTTTATCATTATAGCAAATATAATATTCATAACAGTTCAACAATTATGATAATTACGAGAAATTTTCAAAGATCATTACACAAAAAAACCTGCATATTATTCATTTAATCATAGAATTTAGTTTGATATATATTATAGCATGTCTGAATCATAATAGTGTTACACTCCTTTCTAAGGATGTTGGATCTGAAGAAAGTAGGACATAACCCAATGTGGAGAGCGTGACTGAATAATTTACAGGGAGAGTGGTTCTCTGATTATTCTAAAAGTCTCCTGCGATAGCTTTTATAAAAACTATTATGTAAATAATAGAAGAGTGCTTAGAATAAAAGGGAAGTTGGGAATAGAATTATTGACGGGATTCCAAAGAATGCGGATAGTTTCTGCTCATTACCAACATAAAACAAAGTGCTGGACTTCCAACAAACTATTCAATATGAGAATTAGACACAAAGCAAATTCTAAAAACCACAAACTAATACACATCAACTTTTAAGACAAAAGAAGTAAAGTCATTAATTTTGTTAAGCACAAGGAAATAAAAGCTATCAATTTTGCTATGACACGAAAGAGATGAGATCCAAAATGCAGTTAGATAAGTTTCAAAGTAATTTAATTTATTTTTATTCAAAAAACCCATTGCTTGATTCTCAAACATTTGGATGACTATCCTTTAAATACAATTTTTAGAACTACATCAATTGATACGCAGTTTTACAAGATCTAAAGTATAAACTATGAATTATTTAAGTGTTCTCAGAAAAAAGGGGCATGGTTATACTTCGATACAAAGAATTAAATGTAAATATAAAGCAAAATGAAGTCTAACTATATGTTTTTTATGAACAAAGAAATTACATATGATATGAGCGTTTGATAATCACATTCTATTAGGGAAGGCAGTGCTGATGTTTGATATCACAATGTGAGAGTCTTCGTATGAATTTACAAGTGATGATTACATGTATATTGATGCTACAAAGTGTGAATTTGTTGACTGATATAATCAAGTGAATCTAATTTTATTATTTAATATTTTCACGTGACTAGTTCATTATACATGTAAATGTTTTTTTTAAAGTATATACATTTACATGTATTTTCTAAAACTAGCAAATCAATAAAATTTGGTGCATGGATGTTTTACCGTTACAGTCGGCGTTTAAGCTTGCTAATTTTTCCGAACATACATGTACACACACTGTGTTCTTTGTTACGGAAAAGAGTAATCTCAAACAATAACATTTTGACAGAGACTTATATAAAAAAAGATAGTTCATCCTCTTTGAACATATATAGCAGATACTAATAAAGAAATAGAATTTAATAATGAAGTTGAAGAGTTTTTTCAATTGACACCTGAAATTGAGAGAATATCTTTCGAAGAGATTACTGAAATTGAGATAATTGCCAAGGGAGGATTTGGTGAAGTGTACAAAGGTTTTTAAAATATGAAATTGAAGTTAGCCAAGTCAATAAAAGAATTATTGCATGAGATAATTAATATCAAAGATGTGTCTAGATAAGTTTATCTTTATAGTTATTTATTCACCTTTGTAATTCTATTTATATAATAATAATTCAATGAAGGCTGAATTGACCAATAAATGTGCTTAAGATGACTATTTGATTCAATTATTAATTATCTTAACTTTTGATTAGTGACGATTCAAGATGTAAGAAACTAACAATTTTTATTTTATATTTTCTTTTAATTCCTTTTGATTTTAGTTTATTTATCTAATCCATTATTTAGCTTAGGGAGTAAGAGATCAACAATTTTTTTTATATTGCATTTTAATTTTATTTGAGATTAATTTTTTAACTAATCCAATTATTCTATTCTTTATTTAGTTTGTAAGAAATTAACAATTTAATTTTTACATTTTCATTTTTTTTTATTTTAATTTATTTAACTAATCTATTATTCTATCCTTTATTGATAAGAAATCAACGATTTTATTATTTTCATTTTAAATTTATTAATTTTATTTTATATTAATTTATTTAACTAATCCATTATTTTATCCTTTACTTACTGTAGATGTTAAGAAAGCAACGATTTTATTTTACATTTTCACTTTAATTTATTTTATTTAGTATTAATTTATTTTATTTAACTAAGCTTCCTTTATTTAGATTGTAAGATATTAACGATTTTATTTTACACTTTCATTTTAGTTTTATTAACTCATTAACTAATCCATTATTATATCCTTTATTTAGATTGTAAGAAATCAACGATTTTATTTTTCAATTTCATTTTAATTTTATTAATTTTATTTGATATTTATTTATTTAACTAATCCATTATCTTTTCTTTACTTTAGAGAGTAAGCAATCAATGATTTTATTGTGAATTTCATATTAATTTTATTAATTTTATTGTAATTGTTTTATTTTACATTTTCATATTAAGTTTATTTGATATTAATTTATTTAACTAAATCCATTACTCTATTTAAATGATAAGGAATCAACAATTTTATTTTGTATTTTAGGTAAGGATTCAACATTTTTAATTGATTTTTTAAATTTATTATAATTATTTGATTGATTTATATTTTTTATTTGATATCAATTTATTATATTTTAATGCAATTTGTCCAATAAAGATGTTGGGTAAGAAATGATAGTCCTTGCTTCTTTTTTATTTATTTGATTTATCCTTCTATTTTCATTTCTAAATAGTTTTCAACACTATAAAATCTATGGAATAACACACAATCCTTCAAATGAAGAATACTTTTTAGTTCTCCCCGCTGTCGGCCTAGGTGATCTGCGACGTTATCTACGAAAGCTATTCACTAAAATAACATGGAATGAACGCATAAAAGTACTATATGATATTTGTACTCATCTTCAATTTATTCATTCACAAGATATTATGCAAGATGACCTGCATCCTGGAAATATTCTTCGATAAATAAAGATGTCACTACACTCTGTGATTTTTGTCCTGCAATCAGACAAAATTCCGCTAAGGAAGAAGGCCAAATATTTGGTGTGATGCCATTCTAGATTTTCCGAGGCGAAGCATTCAGCATGGCATCAGATGTCTATGCATTGGGAATGGTCATGTGGGAGTGGTGTGTCGGTAAACCGCCATTCGGTAAACGTCCTTTCGATGATAATTTAGCTTTTGATATATGCGACGGATTAACAACCAGAATTGCCTGAAAGATTACCTGACTTTTACCGCGACTTGATTGTACGTTGTTGGCATCATGATCCTTCACAAAGACCAACTTCTAAAGAGATGTGCAACATCGTTAAAAAATGGTATCTAGGCGAAATTACAGAAACGGAAAAACAACAAATAGATGCCGCTGAGAAATTTAGAATTGCAATAAATTCAATTATAATTCCGAAGAAAGCTACACGACGCATCCTTTGGCAGTCTACACGAGCAAAATTTTGCCGAAGGAGGATCATGAAGGTTGGTGTTTTTCAATAATGTTTGTATAAGTTTCATTTACCTGTGATATTATATTGCTAAAAATTTCATGATTCATTCTTTCATTCTAGTGATATATTACTTTTGAATGTCACTGTAGATCAAGTTTTATTTTTTTTGAATATCATGTTCTTTCAAATCAAGAAAAATGTGTTGTAATCCAATGATAGTGTAATGGTCTCTTGCCAAGTATAAAAGAGATAAGAAAAACAAAAATTTATCACTATCTGGAAGACCATAAGCTTTTTAAAAACCAAGAAAAAAATGCACTTATACAAGAAGCAAAAAAAGATATCCTGAGCCATTTCATAACATTGGTAATAAAAATTCATGCAAAAGCTTATCTTAAAATTCTCTAAGATAATTTTGTCCCTTTTCATAATATGATTTGTTCATTGATTTGAAAGAACATGATGTTTCAAACAAATAAAACTTGATGAATATTGTGTTCTTATGATCCAAACTTCATAGAAATATCTCCAAGTCATTGAGGAACAATATTATAAAGTGTAAAAGCTTCCCAATGAACGCGAAAAAGTTCAAGACTACTCTGAAGAAAATTCGATGTGTAGGTCTTTGAGGAGGTTATAGGCTCAATGTCTTGAGAAATCAAAGCGATATTAGAGCCATATGAAGAGCTAATAATGTATTAGCTAGTGGTAAAAAATAGGTTTATATTCATATGACAGAAATAAAATAAATCCGAAATTAATATTTTTTAAAAAAATCGGGCGTTACTTTTTGTGGCGACTGTACATGTGGATTAATATTCATTATCCCAATATGGCATTGATTCAGTATTTAAATGAAACACAAGATTGTTTAAGCATTTACAAACAGCTTTTGTTCAATTTGATGACGATTGTCGTATAACATAATTTTTATGCAATATACGTAGAAAATGATCAAATTAATATGAAAAGCAAAAAGTATAAAATTCAACATCCAACAACCCTAACTTTCCAACTTTCCGAAAAAAATAGTTCAATTTCTAGTTTGGGTTTGCGCGAAGTTGGGTATGTAGGGATGTCGGAATGTTAGATTATAGGGGTGTTAGGCTGTCGGGAATTGTCGGGAAGAATATTGAATTGGGGGTAGACCCAACTCAAAATAGTTAATTGAATTGTCAGTGAGTCTGGTACGAAATCCCAAATCACGAAATCTCGAACGTTCATAAGTCCGAAAGATCAAATCCCGAATGAACGAAATTCCGAAAGTATAATATATGTATCTCAAAATGCATGAAATTATCACAGGATGCCGTTCATTCGGGCTTCGAACTTTCGGGCTTATGCACGTTCGAGATCGGAATTTTTACTGTTATCGATTTTCATTGTATCATTTGTTAGTTTTTATAATGCTATGCAAATATGTAAAGTTTCCGGAATATTTTTAAACTGGAATTTTATTGAATTTAACCAATTATCTAACATTAAATCCACGTGGTCATCCTTCATTTTGAGTACATGTTTTAATTATTTTCGGCATACTTTTAATTTAAATTAATGCAGCAGTAATGACGGTGATACTGACTGCTGAATTTCTCGTCAGACAGAAAGCGATCGACCTTGTACAACATGTGCAACATTTTCCCATGTTGCACATCATTTTTTATTTGATTTGTAACCAAAATGTAAACAAAAAACGGTTTTTATTACCTTTAAAAATGTCCGACAACCCGTAAAATTCAATCGTGAGACCGTAAAGAGATTTTGGCGAAATGGTTGGCGTAATGCTAGAGAAATTTCGCAAAAAACTGATATTCCACTTCGTTCTTGTGAACGCTACGTGGCTTCGCTTCGTAAAAATGGATAAATTCCGGATATTCGTCGTCCTGGTCGTCCACATAAAGTTTCGCCTACTATGCGCCGCCACATCGGTCAGATCGTAAATTCAAATCATTTCCGTACAGCGGCTGAAATCAAAGTGCGGCTCGAAGAAACACATCCAGGATTCGAATTAGGTGTGCAAACTGTCCGTGACGAGCTTTCTAGGCTCGGTTATGTTGCTTCTTTGCCAAGACGCGTTCCTCTTCTTACCCCTCAAGCCAAAGAAGACCGATTTCAATGGGCCGGCAATCATCTTGATTATAACTGGCGCAAGGTTGTATTTTCCGACGAAACAACTCTGCAATTATCCCGAAACACTTGCCTGGCGTGGTCGCGTGAAAAAACTGTTGCACCAATGGTAAAACACCCGTATGTGGGGAGCGATTTGTGCACGTGGAAAGTTGGATGTGCACATTTATACAAAACATTGATCGGCGGAATTCTTAATGACAATGCAACAAACATGTACGGTCGTTGGCGCTGAATTTTCCAGCAGGACAATGATCCAAAACACCGCTCAAATGACGTAAAGAATGATCTCAAAGCTCGGCTGCCGGGACGCGCTCTTCCGTGGCCGTCATACGGCCCCGATCTTGACCCGATCGAAAACATCTGGTCATTTCTTAAACGGAATGTTAAAAAAAGGTCGTTCAAAAAAAATCGATGTCACAGGAGGCTTTTATCGCGTTAGTGGAGAATGAGTGGATAAATCTTCCCGAGGAGCTGATCTTTAGCTGTATCAGCAGTATGCCGGACCGCGTTCAAGCCTGTATTGACAAGGAAGGAGGAAATACTCAATATTAATATTTTATGTGCCCTACTTAATCACATCTCGGAGATAAATTTTTTTTGTGTTTTATTATTTAAATTTTTTTATTTTTGAAAAAATTCGTCCGCCATTACTTTCCGTGCTGACTGTATATACATCAGTTAGAATTTTATCATTCAATGCTAACTCTAGACCGTATTATTCGAGATTTTAACAATCAAATAAATTATTAATAGTTAAAAGAATTTTCCACCTTTTCATAACCTAACTATTTGTTTGCATTGAAATTCTGTGAGTTCCCCATAATTCACATTACGTAACAATAAAAGGTGTAATCAACAAAAATTGACTAACGCGTCGCAATTTAAAGTGTCAATGTATATGATACGGTACATATTAATAAACCAAATTCCATTTGCTCATATTTGTACAGATATTTTTTAAATTATTATTTTTCAGACAACTAAGTAATTCAACTTTTACAATTATTTTTGCAATCCGTTTATGCAATTTTGTTTATTAAATGGTAAGTCGAACAAAATATCTTGTTATCATACAGGATCGTTACGACCTCCCAACAGTTGATAAGCCTGAAACTTTAACATCCCGAAAATCCAAAATTCCGGAAACACAACGTTTCAAAATTTCAAAATGTTAAAACTTGAGTACTACGATAAAACGTGTAGTGCAGCTTTCCAAGAAGTATTTTACTTGTATCTGAATCGGAAGCTGACTCTTATCGAAGATATGGGATTTTTTGAATTTTGAACATCAGGATGTTGAATGTTCGGATTTTTCATGAGATTACATTCAGAGATGTTAGGATTCGAGGTGTTGGTGTTTCGGGAATTTCATTGTTAGTTTATTGTATGTCGTGATGTTGGACGGTACAGGTTCACACATAATGAATGACATGTGATGAATTGTTACGCTATCTCCTAAAGATGTTGGATCTAAAGAAAGTAATGCGTAATTCAAGGGTAGAAAGCTTATGCTAAATGGTTTACAAAAAAGGGTTCTTAAGGGTCTACCGTAGTAGCATTTACGAAAATTACAATGATCTTAAAACTAATGCACAAGGTGATTCCCACAATAAAACCTATGCAAACTTAATGGTTGGGTTTATCCAACAACAACAAACCGAAATTTATAATTAAGGTTTATTTAGAGTGGAGTTCTTCCATTATTGATTTATGTTAGCACAAAAGAAATAAAACCACTTGTGCACAAGCTTTGAAGATAATCAACAATGATAATGTGTCCACAAATAATGGAATTATTACAAGTAAGGAATTTTATTTGTTTATTGATTAGAGCATATCGTTTAAAGGTCAATATTCTGTTTTTTATACAAATGAATCGATATTAATTCTTATCTATACTTATTCAACTTTACGCTAGAGCTAGCGTTTCTAAACAATAAAATTCGAAGACAGTACAAATGGTAATAATAAAGGGGTACGAAGAAGAGCAAGTATATGAATTTCAAGAAAAATCGATCTAGAATACTAAATATTACCAAAGAGATATGTTTCTTGAGAAATTTAATCGAAAGATATAATAAACAAAATTAAAAAGGAATAGAAATAAATTCACGAAATGGTGTTAGATGTTGGTCTAAGCAAAATAGCGGAAGTGTCCGTGTTGCAAAAATTACGGGGAACTATAGACTCACAAACTTTTAAGTTGCTACGGTAACAATGTCAAGTCGATTATGTTGAAAATGTTAAACATTTAATTAATTGTGGTGATCTCGAAGTGTCAAATGTTAATTATTACTATAATCACGAATACTTATGGTCGTTAAACAAGTGTTTCTATTAGGGGAGTGACATATAACCTTATATCGTTAGGAGGTAGGGTAGGTTGACAAAATCTTAGGCATCCATACATATCCATATACATGTATATTATAGGATCATAAGATCTACTGCATAAAATCACGTGAAAATCTTATGTGGGAGGGGAGAAATCTCTATACATGAAGTAAATAAATATTTGTTTAAGTTTAGGGATTACGAGCTTAAATGTTACTTCGGTAACGTTATCAAAATTTATGGATTTTTTTATAATATTTAATATAAATTCGTAAAGCTATATTAAAAAAAGAGCAAATGTTTACTAAATAAAATAAATTTTTTCAAAATTGAATGATTCAACCATTTCTGGAGCTAGATCATGACCATTTTCTTTAGACTTTTGATACCACTTCAATGCTAAATCGTGATTTTTCAAAACACCTATTCCATGTTGATAGAATTTTCCAAGATTAAATTGAGCCTTATTGTATCCGGATTCAGCAGCTCTCAGGTACCAATTAAATGCTTCTATATCATTTTTGCATGTCCCTTCTCCATATTCATAACATTGTCCAAGTCGAAAATAGAAATGATCTTTACGATTACCATTTTTGGACGAGTCTTCTAAAAGATATTTGAACAGGATTTCTTCCATTTCTTTTGTATTTGAATTTCTTTCATAGCTATATCTTAATAAAAATTGACTTCTTTCAAAACCGCCATTGGCAGAATTTAAAAGCAACACTAATCGTTTGTCTTCCTCTTTTTCTATTAAAGCAAGATTATATTGTATGCTGGGATCTCCTGACTCTTCTGCTTTCGAGTACCACTCTTCTGCTTTTTGTTCATCTTTGCTTGTTCCTATTCCATTTGCGTAGCAATAACCAAGATTATTTTGTGCGCCGAGGTGTCCTGATTCTGCTGCTTTCAAGTACCACTCGAATGCTTTTTTTTCATCTATGCTTGTTCCTATTCCATTTTGATAGCAATAACCAAGATTGTGTTGCGCGTTAAGATATCCTGACTCTGCTGCTTTCGAGTACCACTCGAATGCTTTATGTTCATCTTTATTTGTTCCTATTCCATTCTCGTAGCAATAGCCAAGAGTATTTAGTACGTTAAGGTGTCCTGACTCTTTTGCTTTCAAGTACCACTTGAATGCTTCTTGTTTATCTTTAGTTATTCCTATTCCATACTCGTAATGATAACCGAGATTATATTGTGCTTGATGGTATCCTGATTCTGCTGCTTTCAAGTACCACTTAAATGCTTTTTGTTCATCTTTTATTGTTCCTATTCCATTTACGTAGCAGTAACCAAGATGGTATTGTGCGTTAAGATATCCTGACTCCGCTGCTTTCGAATACCATTCGAATGCTTTATGTTCATCTTTTATTGTTCCTATTCCATTTACGTAGAAATAACCAAGATCATTTTGTGCTTTATGATCTCCTGGCTTTGCTTTTTTCAAGAGAAGCTCGAATATTTTTTGTTCATCTTTGATTATTCCTATTCCATTTTGATAATAATAATATTGTGCGTTTGACTCTTTTAAATCATTTAATTTTTCCATACGAATTTTTTGTTGATTTATGATTTGATTTTCTGTTAAATTATTTAAATTATTTGCCATAATAAATGGGGAAGATGGCATCTGTTACTAGAATGAAAGAAGGTGCTGATAGAGATAAAATCCAATCTATTTGATCATGTACGGCGGCGTCATCGACGATCCTTTATTCGACCTGGCCTCTTTCTTTACGCTATCTTGAATCGCCAATAGATGTCGTAGATCCTCTTCGTGTTCAGTTGATTTCTTTTTATTTTTTGCTAAACTATTATTTTGTTAGTTTCAGACATTTTTATATTTTATACAATCGTAGAAGAATCATTTCACGTAATTATGTTTGCTTTGTTGATACAGTAATTGTATACATGACATGTAGTGTACACATGTAGTAATAATAACGAAATTGTAAATGGTATACCGCCGTAGCCTTATGACTATTAACAATCATTCGATTTCTGTTTTTAATTGGGCAATCTACATCTCTTTTTATGTAGAATACTTAATGTAATCAATTTCTTGTTTGATTAGCTGAACAATTTTCTTTTTCTAGAGCAAATAATTCTTGTTGAAAAATAACCAGTATTCTTTATAACATGACAAAATTGTAAAAGAAGTCTCATGACTAATACTGTACATTCTCTTGTCAATTTCTTGTTTGATTAGTTGAATAATTCTCTTTTCTAGAGCAAATAATTTAAAATAGCCAGTATATTTTTGTAAACTAACGAAATTGTAAATGGTATAACGCCATAGCTTTGAAACTAACAATGATCATTCGATTTCCGTTTGATTAATTGGCAGTTTATATCTCTCTTTATGTGAAGCACTTGACAATATTATCAATTTCTTGTTGATTAGCTGAACAATTCTCTTTTTCTAAGCAAATGCATGTAATTTTATTTAAAAAAACTACATTTGGGTTCATTACTTTTTATCTAGATGGTCAATAAAATGGCAGATCAACTTAGATTATCAAAATTTTTTGCCATATATGTATTGTATGTATACGTATTATATTAAAGTACAATGGAAAGCGCCGACTCTTCTCTTGAACAATTCTCAAATGGAAATTTTATCGTTCTTTTTATTTGGCACTTTTGGAAGTACATGAAACAATCGAGAACTGATCATTTATGTTTAATATCAGTAATATATGGATGGCGAATAAATATTAAATTTCACACAACTAAGTAATAACTTTAAGCTTATATTCGAAATAACAAGCAAAAAAAATAATAAAATGCTTATCTTGCAATTAATTTAGATGATAGTTTAAATTTCATGTTATAATATTATATCCGATAAGTGAATCACTATTGAGAAGACAACTACCTTTGTTTCGTCAATGATAGCTCTTTGTTCAACCGTGATATCTAAAAATCGTGCGCAAATTCTAAAAGATAATCGATACTTTTGAAGCCCTAAAACATAGAATTACTCTATATAGTTAGGGCAACCAAGAAATTCATTTATGCAATGTTGTCAGCACAAAGAAAAATTCCGTGATTACGAAATTCCGGAACGATGCAAGACGATCTCATTACTTGTATCTTTATTTAGAAAAACATTAAAGATAGAATTCCTAGCCACGGCGAAAAAACCTCCTCAGATCATGTGATTTTAAGAGGCAAACCAATCAAATCGCAAAATCAATGACATTCACATGTATCTCTTATCATTATACATGAATTACGTACTTTGTGCAATGCTATCGATAATATGCTTACATGTAATAATGGTGTACATGTATTAAGTAAATCAAAACTATATGTGGGATCATAAAAATTTATTATTGAATATTTTTGTCGATACTTATGTTAACATGTTCGTTAGCAAGAAAAATAAAGATTGGGAAACATTGATTTTCCCATAAATAATTAAGAAAACCTCGTAGCTTTGTAAACATTACATTGCGAGTAAGAATTGATTGGTATTACAACATTTGGCTAAGATAATTGGGCAACCTGTGCATCTAAAAGCGAGACCGAGTTTTATATATAAAAATTGGTCTTGCTTTTTTAAATGCGCAGGTTGCAAGATTTATTTTAAACAAATGTTTTAATATAAATCAATTCTTACTCGTAATATTTATAAAGTTGCAAAGCTATTTTTTTACATTATTTTATGGGAAAATCAATTTTTCCCAATCTCGTTTCTTATTTTTCTTGCTAACGAACTTATTTAAGGATCGACAAAAAAATCTTCAATACATGTACAGTGGCCTATCATAAATCACCGGACACTTGATGACGATCATCATCAATGCAAATTTGTTGCCAACT